ATTGAAAAATGTGGTCATTGTTTTTATTGCATTTATCCCGATATTATCGAAGTCATCGAATATCGTGATAATTTCCTCGACAATAATCGCGAGATGATTTTTTTAATATCGCCCAACCCTAATCGTACGTCAGTATATAACAATTTAGGCACAAAAAACACTAGACCGGAAAAAAATGCTAACAATAGCAATAAAAACAGGTTAATAAGTAATAGTATCATTAGTATGGTAATCTTTGAAAAACTGACTACTTCATGATTTCTTGTGTTTCTGGTGTTATGCACAAAGGTGAAGATATATGTTTGTGATGTATGATTGTCTCTGTGTGTTCCATACTGGGCAAGCTGAAAAGTTTGCTTGACTGCAGTGAGAATCGAACCTTTGGTTTGCTAGTCCAATGCTCTACGAGGTCAAATCAGTTCGACTGAAAGATATTTCGGATTATTAAAAAAAAGGTCATCAAGTTTAGATTAGTGTCAGATTAAGATTCGATTAGGGTTAGATTAAGATTATATTAGGGTGAGGTTCATCTATCTCAATTAAATAGACACTTCCCGAATTTGCTTGAGTGCACACGAATCGAGGCGGACAATGTAATCCATTGGAAAACTATACTTATTTCCAATGGATTACATTGTCCGCCTCGATTCCAAGCTATTGTTTCGTGTGCACTCAAGCAAATTCGGGAAGTGTCTATTAATTGAGCAAAATTTATTATATTGATTATTTCGGACGTGTTTAACAATTTACTCCTATCGTAACTGCAAAGGTCGAGCTCATGCTGAAAATATCACCAACTCAAACTGATTTGGGGGAGGGATAGCCTGTAAGTTACAGATTGAAAAGGAATGTGCAGAAGAATGGCGTTCCTCTCATCATTTTGTATAATTTAAAATACAGACTTCAATGAACATGCCACCATCCCCGAACAAGTGGCGACGTGGCGTATGAAGATATTTAAAAACCGAGGTATGGAAATTTTAATGAACCCTGCCCCAGAGTGCATTGCAAAAATACCTAACACCCCCCTTTGCAGTGATAAAAATAGTTGACCCCGCATTTTTTCATCAGCTTCCCCACCAAGCCATAAATAATGGGCTTTCCCTAATAATGTTTATATAATGACTACAGTGAAACACGCTATTTGATTGGTCAATAGCCGTGCAGGATCAGGCTATCTTGCACGAGGAATTAAAACGCCTTCGCGGGATTCTCAAAATGTCATTGTTTCACTGTAGTTATTTTATATAATTACAATTACCAAATGGTTTTCCAAGCATGATAGCGTGATCCATGCACTTGGGATGTTGCTCGACTTTTGGAAAGCGTAAAAATACACTCGCCTGCAGCTCGAGTATTTTCACGCTTTCCGAAAGTCTCGCAACATCCCTCGTGCATGGATCACGCAATCCTGCACGGAAAACCATTCGGTATTCCTTTAAGAATGCACTGGGGCCAAGATGCAACTTAATGGGTCAATAGACTGATTAACCCTCTTCATGAGCACCAGTGCAATTTCCCACCAGTTGACAAGTAAAATTGTCTGGCATTAGACAGAGTAAAGTAACAAACCCGGGCACAAGGGTTAATCACCCCATTGCTTTTAATTGTGTATGCCCCATGACTGCAAGTATGCCAGTGTCAAGTATTTATCTCCATAGTAATATAATAAATCACTTCATGGTTAGAGCATTGCACTCAAATTGCAGGATCACAGATTTGATTCCTGCCAGCTAGAGCAAGGTTTGAAATTTATAATATTTTTTTCCTGAGTATCCAACTGGGATACCAGGATTCAAAGTTTGGTATCCCCCCTGAGAATCCAGTATCCCACTTCTGGATACTGGTTACCAATACCATAAATTGTTATACCCCGTCCCGTCCAAATAAGTTTCCATAACTCTCACTGTTACAAATTATAATAACATCAGGAGACTCAACAGTTAACAGTCAACAGCTATTAAACAATTCATTAATACACTAAAATGCACATAATCCTTCAACAAACTTCTATATTCCAGACATTTCTAGTCCTGAATGAGCAAAGACTGGTGGCAAACAGATAGTATTCAAAAGCTATCAGGAGCCGGTCAAAGGTGTTTAATATTTTCTTAATGTTTGAAATGTTCTTAGTATCCAGTCAGGATACAACTATACAAGTCATTCACATGCAGTTTGGCATCCAAAACCAAATTTTTGGTTTCCCATGGACATATAGAGATACTGCATTTTTCAGACCCTGCTCTCAGAGGGCCCGATATTTTTCGCAAAGTCTGGTCCTATACAGTGGCGTAGCCGTAGCGCTCATTGGTTAGGGTTAGTTCAAAAACTAAGGGCCCCCGACAGTTAGGGGACCCATCAGCCACGGTCTATCGCCCAGAAAATTAGAAAACGTAAAAAATGCAGGTGAAGAATCAATGGGAAAATGCGAAATTAATAATGCTAAATAATCAAACCTCCATCGACGATGGTAGCTGATTTTTTTATTCCAACTCATTAAACAAAAGTTATTCTTAAAAGTTGTTACATATGTTGGAGACTGTTATTGTCATTGTTATAGACACGGAATTTTCCAGAACATTCTATAAATGTTCAATATAAATATAATATCTCAGTCAAACAATGACAACAGGGGCCCACACCGAATATGCCTAAGGGCCCCCTCTTCCTCCGTTACGCCACTGCCTATAGTTAGGTCTAACAAATGTATAAAAACTCCACTCGAAATTTCCATAGATCTGCACATCCCTTGAACAATTAATATTATAATTACATCAGGTGAGATGCCCAAAAATTCTGATTTTTACCCATGCATGCAGTGATACACCATACATAGTCCAGTCAAATCACTATAAGTACATGGTCCTGATCAAAGTAATTGCAATACATTTGTTTTCAGTGGTAAAGTGTGAGAAAAGTTGTTCTAATTAACATACTAAAAATCCCTTCGGTGGTACATGGTGAAAATCGAGTTTTTCTTACTTCTACCTATAGAAAACCATTGTAGATGCAGAATGTTGAAATTAATTTTAAAATCATTTTTAGGCAAATGTAACCTACATTATTGGAAAGCTTAGAAAAATCTAAAATATAAATCATTAAACGGTTATCTTGCTTTTGCCTATCCAGCCGAAGTTATACAAGATTTAAAATGCCATAAATTTGTATTTTGTGCAAATTTTGTGCCGTTGATTAGAGCACTGCACCCAGAATCTCAAGGCTGCAGGCTCAATTCCTGCCAGAGAACCGGCAGTTACATTTTCCACTCTTGGTTATAGGTCTAATAAATGTATAAAAATTCCACTCAAAATTTCCATCTACAAATTCCTTCAACAATTTATAGTTTATAGTATAAACCCATTGAGTCTCATTCTGCCCTGATGCACCCTACTTTATTATTTTACTCTGTCTAACGCCTGATTATTTTACTCTGTCCAACGCCAGACAATTTTACTTGTCAAGGGGGAGGCGCTGGCACTTAATGGGTTAACTGGCCTATCTGCACATGTGTCTAGTTAACCCATTCAGTCGCATTGCGCCCTGATGCGCCCTACTTTATTATTTTACTCTGTCTAACGCCAGACAATTTTACTTGTCAAGGGGGAGGTGCTGGCACTTAATGGGTTAACTGGCCTATCTGCACATGTGTCTATAGTTAACCCATTCAGTCGCATTGTGCCCTGATGCGTCCTACTTTATTATTTTACTCTGTCTAACGCCAAAAGATTTTACTCGTCAAGGGGGAGAGCGCTGGCAGATAATGGGTTAACTGGCCTATCTGCCTATGTGTCTAGTTAACCCATTCAGTCGCATTGCGCCCTACTTTATTATTTTACTCAATCTATCTAAGTAGTCTAACACCAGACAATTGTACTTGTCAAGTGGAGAGCATGCGCAGCATGGCGCTTAATGGATTAAAGTTGTAAAGTGCTTACTTGATTAACTATTAGCAATCCTTCACAACTGATAAATAAATATTGTATGCACTCACCATTCACCAACCATGAGGTAAAGTCATAAATTGCTAAATTGTCAGGACCCAACCAGAACTAATGCACCTACTGTATCAATGTTGGGGGGGTCGGGCATATGTGGGGTATTTAATCATCAATTGCATCTCCACCCTGGGGATTTTGATTAGCATTTTGGCCCCAAGTTGGGGCAATTTGAACCGAATGACTTTTATTAACATAGTATTTATTGCAGTTTATTACAAAATGGTGGGGCATTTGACCAATATTTATTGCCCAACAGTGGGGCATTTGATTGAAAATTTGCTCAAAAAATCAAATGCCCCACCTATGCCCCCCCCCCTCTGGGGCTTAACATTGATAGGTGCATAATGACACAGGTGTGTATGAAATGTACAAAGGAATGTGTGTGGGTGTCTGTCAAAGAATTATACAAAAACCACAAGCTTCTAGATTCGAATAAATTAAAAGTTAACAAATTCTATATAGAGAGCTTCAATATAAAACTCATGTCAAAAGTCATTTTGAATCCATGTCTTGGATATTTTTTCAAGATGTTTATTTTCATACCTTCTTTTGCATTTTCAAGGCCACAGAGAAGGGAAACCAGAACTATTAAACTTATAATTAACAAATTAAAACCCTGTTGATTGTTCTATGTAGTTGTAACATAAAAGTGTAGGCAAAGTAAACTTCAGTTGTTTCACATTGGTGGTTGAAATAGACTGTATTTCAATACCAACATTAATATTTTGTGATTGAAGTATAGAACTGATCTCTAAAATCACGACAGTCAACAATTCCTATGTTTCGAATTGGAACTGGAGCGTTAAAAATTATAAATGCCTTGTAGCACAAGTTTCTGTGTACGCTTTTATAGCACATGCTTTTATATTTATATGTAAAATATACAGTATGTTTAATATGGCTGCCGTTATTTCAATCTCAATTATTATATGTACAGCACTGAATATACAGAATGCATGCATGTCTCATTATATTCTACATAAAATATTAAAATGGCACTAACCTCTGGCTTTATATCAAACCTCTGAAATCCGTCAACAAAGTCATTGCTATTTTCCTTACCGGGTGATTTTGCCATTTCAGCCTGCTTAGAATCACGTTCTAGTGTTCCTGAGGGCGAGTCCGGATTTATAAGAACGTCTCGACCTTTCACATCGCCTTCCATGTTCGCCAGAATATTGGTCTGAGAAGAAAATTCGTTGTTTACATTCGCTTCCGAAAGGGCTTTTGCTCCGGTCGGGTTATTTCTGACATTTCTATTTTATTTGGGTAAGGTTTCGCCAAACAATTCACAAACAACCGTTAGGCGTTAGCAATATTAGAACCATGTAGAAAATGGACAATATAGCCAAATATTCGTCGTCAAATTAAAATATCAAGATGTGGTTGGCGACTTGGCGTCATGTAAACAATCAAGTGAAAAATTTGCATTTTCAAGAAGTTTCTATATTGACCTTGCCAATGACCTGCCCTATTGCAGCAATTTTCGCACTTCCGATTCCTAATACAGAAATATGGAAACATGGGCGAATATGCCAAATACGTCAATGAAATTTTAATGTTGTATAAATGCATTCTATGTTACAAATTATCGTGTTTAAACAACCAAACAAAGCTAAATTTTATCGGTATAGTGGAAAGACGGAATGCGGAGAGCGGAGTACGGAGCGTACGGAGTCTATCAAACTTTTTCCCCATAGGCAATCGATATTCTATCAAACTTTTTCCCCGTAGACAATCGATATTTATTTATACATTCTGTCTTTTCCCCTTTATCCCCCACAAATTCAAAAAGCGTTTTGTGTCAAAAAGTGTTTCTCTATAAAGCTCAACATTCAATTTAGAAAAAATAATTAAAATTAGTAAACCTTTTTCCTTTTCCTCTTTGAGTTGAAGGGGTGGGTCATCGAAAGTTAAGTGCAATCATGTAAGAATAAAGAATATGTAAAAATATGCAGAGTTTTTTTCAAGGGCATGTCTATTAAAATTCATATTATAAATATAGAAATAAAACGTATCAGGATCCATGTGTAAAATTTATACCGCAAACGTTCACCTCAAACTTAAAAGCTCAATTTACTGTTAAATCACGGCGTTAGCTGTAAATGTCAAACTAAAGGTCTCTAATTATGAGAAAGTTACTGCATAATGCAGTATGCATGGGAAGTTCCATGCCAAGAAAGACCTTTCTGTATTTAACTCAGGGCCCTTGTAACATATAGACTGGGGGGGACATGTCCTCCTCGGCAATTTTCCTCCCCCCCCCCAGTGAGGTCCCTAAGAACTACCTGTAGTAGGTGGTCAACCAGCAATTATGTATCAAAAGCAATTAAGTGACAAAACTATGTTAAGTTGCTTGTGATGTTACCCTGAGTGTATATCCACACCGGGCAAGCTTGAAAAATATATATGCGTGGCCACGGTGGGAATCGAACCTACGACCTTTGGAATACTAGCTCAATGCTCTGCCAACTGAGCTACGCGGTCAGGTCGGTTCGAAGTAAGTGATATTTCGGAACAGAATCTAGTTCCTTCGATATCAATGTAATCTAGTCAGTCATCATTTTTTTTCTGTGTTCATGTGATGTACTCAGGTGAATATGATGCTTGTGATGTTACTCTGAGTGTATATCCACATCGGTCGCAGGTTCGATTCCAAAGGTCGCAAGTTCGATTTCGACCGTGGCCAGGCCGGTGTGGATATACACTCAGAGTAACATCACTATAATGAAGTCGGTTTGTAATAAAATAATATACTTAAATGATTAATGTGAATGTCCTAGATTCGTCCTCGCTTTCCTTGCTCGATACAACAGTACATGTGTTCACTGTCCCGTGACTAGATCATGTGACCTGTACGTCACAATACTATATCCCTCCTTTCCTTTTAGAATAAAACATTCATAATTAACAACTCAACAACTAAAACTTCAAGTTTGTATAGGTTCATACTATGTCTGTGAACTATTATATAATTCTGGACTTCTTCTGTTCCGAGTTGGATATCTGCGCGTCAATTCCGTGTTAGGCATATCACCATGAAAATCCTCGATAATTTGATCTTGTGGTTCAAAGTTTGGGTTTGGGATTTGTTTAAACACTGAAACATTTCTGATAATGTTGCCGCTATCTTCGCTAGTCGCAGTGATCATTGTCCCTTTTATTTCTGTTACTCTGTATGGCGTTGTACCAAATGGGGTAGATAGCTTATTTTTCTTTTGCTGTCTATTTGAAGATTAATGTTCTTTGCCTGATTCCGTTTGTCCGCATATTTCTTCATCTTCTCCTTTCTCTTAGAGTCGTTATTGATAGCTTTTTCATGGCTGTCTTCGATGTCTGAGGGCATGGGGTCTAACCGGTCCACATTTGGCAGTTTATTCCGAATTTTTCGATTGAATAGAAGCTCTGCCGGGCTGATACCAGTTCTGCCATGCGGCGTTGACCTGTAATTCAAAAGAAAAGTATCTAACTCATCTTGCCATCTTCTTCCTTCGATATGGGCGGCTCGTGCAGCTTTTTCTAATGTGCGCATGAAACGCGCCGCTTCGGCATTAGCTTGCGGCCAGTAAGGGGTGATTTTCCTGTGGCGAACACCATTTTGATTTAGAAAAGCATCAAAATCTGCAGCGTTAAATGGGCGCCCATTGTCGCTTGTCAATTCATCTGGGTATGTATGTATGTATGTATGTAAACTTTATTTAAAGACGTTAGCCTCGTCAACGATTTGTTGATTTTCACGAGGGACGTCTGTTACTATTAAAAATTACAAATATGATATAGAAAAGAATAAAGAATT